CCATTTTTAACGCGCAGCCTCGCGAAAATGTTATGATCAGCCCCACTTTGTCACTCGGCGAGAATGATTTTTTCCTTCCGCGAAGACTTTCTCGCAGTGCCGCGGAGCCCGCTGCTGCCGCGGCTGCTGCTCTCGAAAGGTGCCGCACCCCGCTCTCTCTCTCTCTCTTTTCTCTCTCTCTCCCCTCCTCTCCTCGCCCCTCTCTCTCTCTCTCTCCAGATTAACGCCCGGCCCCCACCCCTTTGCAGAAAAACACTGCAACAGTGTGCCTCTAATCAGAGGGTGCTCCTCGCCAGGCCCCACACTCGTCCCCCAACAACGCCTCGCGCTCATCACACCTTTTTCCCGCCAAGACTTCCCTTTCGCTTCGTTGTTTCCGCCCCGATCTGCAGCCATCCGCAATATAGTTTTCCATCATCCCACCTCTATTCTTCTCACCTTCTGCCTCCTCTCCCTTCCCCTCTCCTCTCCCCCGTCCGTATCCGGTCAATAGAAGCGTTTTCAGCTTCTTTCTCTGTTTTTCTGGGCCCGGGGGACTTGTGGAGTGTCGCGCAAGTGTGTTGAGTGTGTAAGCGTGGGTGTGTTCGGGGGTACGAGTGTATGTGTGGGTGTGTGTCCGTGAAATCGAATTTGATTCGCGCCAAGTGTGCCCCCATTGGACGTATGTGTTCCCCCTGCCGCCCTCGGCCGCCCGCGCTCCAGAAAAGGTCCCCTTCCCGTGTGCTCCAGCTCCAGCTCCAGGCTGCATTAGTTGCAGCGATGTGGCTGTCGCCTGCGCCACCGCCGTGAGAGCGTTGTTGCTCCACTGTTCGGGGGGAAAGGGGTAAAAGAGAGAGGAGGGCCGTCACGCGTCTTTTATCTACCGGGCCCGGGGGAACAAGTTTGAGATTTTTCATCCTGGATACAAATGACGAAGCTCAGAAACAAAACAGGCGTGCGTTTCGACGCGGACAGTGCGGCCTCCACACTGTTGTCTCTCTGTGTCCCTCGGCCTGTCTGTCTGTCTGTCCGCCCTGCCTGCTCGCGGCCTTCCTTCCATCTCGGGGCGGTGCTCCTGACGGTCCTGAGTCACAAAGAGAGCAATTCGGGCCGAAAAGCGACGTACAGGAAAGGGTCGTTTTGCAGTCTTGGGCGGCAGTGTTTCCGTCCGCCACTTGTCCCCATCCAAGGGGCCTGCAGACTGATTCCGGACAGCACCGCGGTAGAGAGAGAGAGAGAAGAGAGAGAGAGAGAGAAAAGAGAGAGAGAAGAGAGAGAGAGAGAGAGGAGAGAGAGAGAGAGAGAGAGAAAAGAGAGGACGCCTGCTGAGGCCATTGGGCCACTGGGCCATCCAATCGGTCGCCGCCACTACTGTCAAGACGACCACCACCACTACGCGCTGCCAGTCCCTTCTGGAGGGCCGGGCCACACTTGGCGAGGAGTCAAAGGTCAAAAACAAAAACAAAAATGGAAAACCAACAAGAGCAAAAACAACATAATAGAGCCAAAAACAACATAACAGAGCCAAAAACAACATAACAGAGCAAAAAAAAGAGGGAGAAAGCAACGAAAAGCAAAATGAAAAACAATTTTTTTTTAAGATGAAAAAACGATTTTTTTGAAAATAACCCCCTTTTTCCAGGAGCGCGGGCAACACACTGACGCGCGGCCAGTTCCTGAAGCGGCTGCGCGCCGTGACCGAGGCCCTGTACCCGACGCGCAACCAGTACCTGGAGGACAACAGCGGCACCTCTCTCGGACCCGCTGCTCGCGAGCTGGCGCAGCGCGAGCGAGCCAACCGTGTGGGGCTGCTGGCGGTCAGTAGAACAAAAAATCCTCATTCTATGGAAAACTACAAATCTATTGGCGAGTTCGCTTGTCCAGTGGCGGCCTGTTTTTGCCTTCTAAGAGACAAAGATCACAGTCTATGGCACTCCGGCGGCGAAAGACGACAAATTGTGGCATTTTTAAAGAAAAATCCGATTTTCATGTATTTAAAACTGAGCAATAGGAAACTTGCCAGGATTTGCAGTAAATACCTATAAGCTTTTTGGGGGAGAGGGCGGGGGATGAGTTAAGATTTCATTTTTGGCCGCTCAAGTGTTATCCTACGTATCTCAATGATTACGTTGCAATGCTTGGGACTGCTTCACGGTACTTGACAGTTTTTTGCAGTGCTTGACAGTTTATGGCAAAGCTTGGCAGTTTTTTGGCAGATCCCGGGAGGGTTTTGGCAGGCTTGGAGCTTCTTGGCAAAGCTTGGGGCTTTTTTTAGGCAGACCTGGGCAGTTTTTGGCAGAGCTTCGGCGGGGCTTGGCAGTGCTTGGCGGGGCTTGGGCAAGCCGGGGCCTTAGACCCGACCACCCGACCCTCGGGAGGGCTCGTCTTCGAGGCGCCTTGGTTGGCACGCATTAATTAATGCAACCGATCGGCGTGGGCCGAGGGCGGGGCGGGGCGGGGCGGCCTGATGAGAAGCCAGCCCGCCCCGACGCGCTCGCCGCCAATCCCCGGCCGCTGCGACGCGCCGACCGAGCTGTAACTGAACAGGGCTCGCTGATTGCGGCACGGCTCCCCGCGAGGCGAGGCGTGGCGAGGCACGGCGGTCGCGGACCGTATCCGTTGCACTCGCCAAACGGCCAAACTGCTCAGTTCCAGGCCAGATTTTCAGCCGACGTTGAGTACACTGTGAAGATCATAGTCTTTTCTTGACAGCTTTACAATTTATAGGCTAACTTTCCGCACGAGAATGTCTTCAATCCTGTCGATGCATACCCATGCACGCCCTTGAGCTTTGGTGCATCAAAATTTTATGATGCCTGAACCGTGTCATTTCGGTGTTCGAAGCGCGGTCACCCTTTTACGCGAGTCTGTGACGTTGATAAGCAGAGGAGACACCTCTTGAGCGCGAATTACACACGGCAAAAAGAAGGCCGGGAAACCAGGGGCTGACTAATGGGAACGAATGCCGCAGGCGCCAGGCCTCGCTGCAGACCTCGGCTCCGGGACTTGGCTGCAGGCCTCCAGCAGACTGATTCCGAGAGTCGTCTCCGTCGCTCTGTCTCTCTTACACGCCTATGCGGCCCTATGCGAGAGAGACGGAGCGACGAAAACGACTCTCGGAATCAGCCTGCAGGGCAAGGCTGTCCATTTAAACAGCCCGCTGCTCCATCAGCCTGCCGGCATGCCCGGGGCCGGCCTATCGAGGCTTCCAGGCTTCGAAGCAGCGGAGCAGCGCGGTTGCGGTCGTCTGCCCCCGCGAAAGGGATCCCTCGGCGAGCGGCGCGGAACGAGGCGGGCGGGGGCGGGGCTGGAACAGGGCGGTCGTGGAGGCGGTCGAGGCACCTGCCGCGGCCTGCATCACTGCAAGGCAGCCAATCTATGGCCTGCGGTGCCGGCCCGCGATTTATAGTGCAGACTCCATCACGCCAGTCAACGAACGGGCGGGCAAACGCCCACGCGACACCCCCGCGTCAGTGGCGGGTCCAGGGAGGGGGGGGGGCTGAGATTCTAGAGGTGCCTTCAGCACTAGCGTCAACACGACTCGAACCAAACGTGTGTTCCTACCAATGGATTCCTCGTTCGGAGAGCAATCCATTGGTGGTGTCACACGTTCGGTTTGAGTTCCATTTGGCGACTGTGCAGCTCAAAACGCGTCCGGGATTTTGACCGCCTCCACCGGTCTTCTGGCCCACTGCTGGCACGCCGTGCCTGCACTGCTTGCAGACCATCATCCACCTCCACATGGTGAGCTCGCTGGGCTACGAGCTGTCCGGGTACGTGGACTTCGCGGACCGGCTGTCCAGGGAGAACTGGGTGCCCTACTTCAAGGGCGAGCGCACCCTCACGCCGGCCAGGAACGACCTGGCCTTCTACCACTGGCGCATGGACCAGGCGCGCTGCAAGTCCACCAACAACTTCAAGGTGAGGCGGGGCCGGTGAATTTTCAAACTACGCGTTATTTTTCGTGCACGAATGCATTTTTGTAAATATTTGAACCACAGGTGATGCCGGACCCGCGGCGCGGCCTCCTGTTCAAGCACCGCAAGGACCGGCTGCGCGTCTGCGTGGACCCGGCCGTGGCGCCGGGGCCCAACTCGACCCGCACGCGCGTCTCGTCGCCGCAGTACATCAGCTGCGTCCTCATCGACCACGTCGTCCGACAGAAATGCTAAACAAACACACGCACACCTTCCCTGTTTGTCTCCGAGTTTTTAGACCCCCCCCCCTTTCCTTTTCCACCGATGACGCGCGGTGGCCACCACGACGACGACACACTGCACCATTAGCCCTCGTTATTTTCCCGGAAAGGAGCATGGACAGGTACGTGTACTTACACACACATCACTCCAGTGAATATCACACACACACATACACACACACACACACCCCTACACACGCACACAAATAACTCCAATAGTCTCTCTACCCCCTCTCTCCTCTCATCCTCCCCCCCCTCTCTTTCTCTCTCACACACACACACACACACATGCCCTTTCGACTTGAAGGCCGCGAAGGCCCAACAACAACAGCAAGAGCGGTCAACGTGTGTTTACTCTGCCGGTCCGTACGACGCAGCCATACGCAGCCACTTGCAGCGTGGGGGCGGACGGACGGCCGGATAACCAGAGAGAATAATCAAATCCAAACTTTATCGCCGCGGAGCCGGAGCCAGGCCGCGCCACTGCACAGTCCATTCACGCGGGGCAGGTCGGGGGTCGCCCTGTCTCTCTCGCACTCATGGGGCTCTCTGTTGGAGTGCGAGAGACACAGAGCGACTAAGCGATCTTCTGAATCGTCCGGCAGGCACCGGGCCCCCGCCATGGGCGGACCCGGCCCGAGCTGCGAGCCAGGGCGGGCTGGGGAGGGGGAGGGGGAGGAGGGAGTGTTTCTGCTCATTTGCTTGCATACACGTGTAACGGAGCAGCCTTACACGGCGCGCATAATCTGGGCATAAATTGGTCATCAGGCATTGCAGGTACACTGTAGCCTAACCGGCTACACGGTGTGTGTGTGTGTGTGTGTGTGTGTGTGTGTGTGTGTGTGTGTGTGTGTGTGTGTGTGTGTGTGTGTGTGTGTGTGTGTGTGTGTGTGTGTGTGTGTGTGTGTGGCAGCTAATCGCGCAGTCTGCCCCGGCCGCCCTCGACTAGTCCCTGCGAGGATCCGCGCCGCGTCCGCGACGTGTGCGTGGTAATGGACAAACAAGGAGGCCCCGGCACTGCATGAGGGGGTCGAGGACGTCGAGGACGTGGAGGAGGCCAAGGAGTAGCGGGGCGACGCCCCCGCACCGCCCGGAGGCTCAGCGAGCTGGTCCGGAACGCCGCTTTCGTCGCTCTGTCTCTCTCGCACCCACACGGCGCGCCCCTTGAGAGCGAGAGAGACAGAGCGACGCTCGCAAGCAGCTCGCCAACTTATTGACGACACCGGGACCGCCTGGCTGCGCCAAGGGCTGCGCCTGGCAGTCCTAGCTATACGCCACCTGATGGCGCCGCCTCACCAGATTGCAACAACGCCGACGACGTCGCGCTGTCTCTCTCGCACGCGCGGGCCGCTCCGTGAGGGTGCGAGAGAGACAGAGCGACCGGGGCGTCACTGCCTGCCTGGCGGGCACTTGCTTTGCATAATCAGGTGGACAGCCACTCGATGTATCGAGGACGCCGTCGACGCCTAGCGTACGCAGCCCCCTCCCCTCCCTTCCTCCTCACTCTCTCCCCTCCTTTCCTCTTCATTACCGACTCGGCCCGAGGCCCGGCCTGGACCGCGCGGAGGCTTGCAATGCCCTCTCCCATTTTTGCGGCAATCGTAAATCCAGATTGAGACAGATCATAAACCCGACTCCCCGCCCCGTCCCCCTCCACGGTCCGCCCCCACACCGCGGACCCAGGCGGGCAGGACGGGCACCCCCCAATTCCCCACGTGGCGTGGCGGGGCGCGGCGGGGCGGGGCGGGGCGCGCGCCGTGGCCACCCTTACTAAAACAACCAGCCCGGACCAACTCACTCGCCCATCACTGGCGGCCCGCCACGCACCCACTCCTCTCCCCATCCCCTCCCCCTCCCCCGCGGCCCGGCCCGCGCCCACGCTTCGGCCCCTAACCCGCTCCAATGTACTCATTTTCCCCGGCGAAAGTATCTCCCGGCACACCGTATTCGCGGGCTGTAAAGTTGCGATGAGTGCACAGCTTTGTTTCTGTGTGAGTCTGTGTGAGCGTGTAGGTGCTGTATGTGTGTGCGTGGCGTGTATGAACTGACCTGCCGACCATACCTTACACACGCACACACCCACCCTCACCTCAATTCTCACACGCTAGGCGCGCGCGCACACACACACATGCACACAAACGCACACACACACGCAGTTGGTCCCACCAGTATGTCAGCAGGTTGGCGCTTATTCTTTAAGCGTGGGAACAAATTCGGGTCGGACAGGTGTCGAAAATCTCGCAACAACGTTCCCCCCACCACCACCATCACCCTCGCCGACACACGCCACAAGGCACATTCTTCATGGTGCACCAAAGTTGAGGGAACGTCGCGATATTTATTTTGGCAGTGTGCGAGCATACCGCGGGGCGTTTCGTGCGTGACAGTTTTCTAAGTGGTGCGACGCAACGGGTTCGCGGCCCTGGCGTCGAGTCCCTGCAGACGCCGCGAGTCGCGAGCGCGAAAGTGTCCGGGCCATCGGGAATATGCATCACACGCACAGCAGGTCGTAAATATGAGCCGTCCGCACGACCCACCCCGCGCAGGACAAGACCCCCCCGAAGTACATACGCGCCCCGAGTTGCTGTTTGTTTCGAGTCTTCCTTTAACTTGGGCCTGAGGGTCACCGAGGGGCCGTTTGGGCCGTTGAGCAGTGCGCGGCCTCTCTCGCCCCTCGCCGGGGACAGACAAAGGGGCCGGAAAATGTCCCCGTCGTCGTACAAAAATATATATTTCTCGTCCTGACAATTGTTATTATTTTTGCCGTGTACGGTAAGAACGTTTCCTGGTTTTCCCGGGAAACCTGTGTGAAAGACATAGCCGATCAGGGAGTTCCTGCGGTAACTGGAAACCTTTTTCACTCTGTACTTAAACTGTTTAGGACACGTTGTCGTACGGAAAAATATTTGTTTTTAGTCGTGAAAATTGTTATTTTTTTCCTGCCGCACTTTTGTAAACTGTTTATGATAATTCAACTTTCTTTTCTTCCTTCGAATTCAGAAAAAATCAATTACACAATACAAAAATTAATGGGTATATTTTCGATTTGACTGCCCAGTCTCAACAACACTCTGGCTTCCTTTCCCAGTTGACGAAGTGACTGGTGCAAGCATCGTAACGACGTGGTTTATCTCCGAGTTGCGAAGCTTTTCGTTTGCATCTTACGATGTACTCTACAAATCGAAGAGTGTATATGGTATGCTCTAACTGGAGCATGCCTGCAAGCACGCTCTAACTAGTGCATGCCTGCCAAGCATGCACTTAATAGCGCATACATGCCATGTACACGCTTCCTGATGCAGACAACTCCCTATCCCTTATGCACTAGATGCATGCTTCAGTTAGCGTGTACATGGCATGTACGCACTAGTTAGTGCATGCCTGGCAGGCATGCGCTAGCTAGAGCGTGCTTGCAGGCATGCTCCAGTTAGAGCATACCATGTACACTCTTCGATTTGTAGAGTAAAACCCCAAAAAGGCTTGGTGGACAAGGATAAGTTTGGCTTGGTACTGTGACAGCGCCAAATGTACCTTAGTAGCATAGCTCAAATTTCATTGCAACTCATTTATATTGAACGCCTAGAAGGCATCACTTGGAAAGTGAAATTCGTGTCCCCACGTGCATGATTTCAAGCCCAAGTTTTTTGAAAGTGTAGGCCAGTCGCTGGTCGGCGCATGGCGAGGCCTGAAACCACAGCCGTGAGAGTGGGGCAGCAGGCCAGTGCCAACTAAACGAATGCAGATACAAAAAGGAAAAAAGAATGAGAAAAAGTGACTGCAAAGAAAGTTGGCATAGGAAAACATTTGAAAGCTCCGTCCCCTGCATTATCATGCTATTACTCCCGACAATGTGACCAGTCAGCTGTCCAAACATTGCGATACAGCCGACTGATTCCGAGAGTCGTTTTCGTCGCTCTGTCTCTCTCGCACTTATGGGGCGTCCCATATAGGTACGAGAGAGACAGAGCGACGGAAACGACTCTCGGAATCAGGCGGGCCGGCCTCGGTGGTGGACAGGTCGGGGCAGCAGGACTTTTTCGCGCCAAAACTGGACCGGCGCGCGCATTTCGCAACACGCTTTTTTTTCAGAGCAGCAATCAGCGCGGCGGGCGCCATGCCGCGCTATTCGGACGATATAGTAGCCCAGGCTTACCTGGGCGCGAGCGTCGCGGCGGGCTGTTTGAACAACGCATGAGGACAAACACCAGTGGCGGCTCAGAGGGGGGAGGGGCAATGCCCCTCGGTCAAATATCTGTTAACACCTTCGCGCCGAAGTGAAATTAAAGGAATGGGAAATCGCAGCGAGGGGCACGGTAAAAACGGTTCCTGTTTTTTTTTTTTTTTTAAGAACTCCCTGGATCCCCGGGTGGAAGGATCTGCAGTCTAAACAGCACTTCTTCACTTGCGTTTTACTGAACTTAACTTTGTGTTTAAAGTACTCTACAAATCAAAGAGTGTACATAGTATGCTCTAACTGGAGCATGCCTGCAAGCACGCTCTAGCTAGCGCATGCCTGCCAAGCATGCACTAACTAGTGCATACATGCCATGTACACGCTTCCTGATGCAAAAAACTCCCTATCCCTTATGCAGTAAATGTATGCTTCAGTTAGCGTGTACATGGCATGTATGCACTAGTTAGTGCATGCTTGGCAGGCATGCACTAGCTAGAGCGTGCTTGCAGGCATGCTCCAGTAAGAGCGTACCATGTACACTCTTTGATTTGTAGAGTAACTGTGAATTATAAAAAAAGTGGAAGAAAAGCCGAGATTTTTCTGTGTTTAAACTATTCTGTAACCGTAAATTTCTACAAAAAGACTATAGAATTTTGTACAAAAAGTGTAGTAAAACTGCAAAAAAAGTACCAGTTTTTTCGCCCAACTACAGTTTTGACTACAGTTTATACCAATTTCACACTGCAGTGAAATCATAGTTACACCTACAGAATTCACTTAAAGGAAGAATAAAATTAAAG